GTCAGCGTGTGGCTCAGGCAGGCTGGGGCATGGTCTGGAGTCTGGGCAGCTTGGACAAAGACCCAGGAGAGAGAGAGAGACGAACAGACAGATGGGGAGACTGAAGACAGAGAGGTCTGGAGTGCGGTGTTTCAGGGGGGTCTGTTGGGTAAGGGCGGGGCAGAGCCAGATTCCCCTAGGGCCTCACGGGCCACTCGGAGAAGCAGGTCTGGATCCTGAGGGGACAGGGAGTGGTCAGAGGTCGTGGTCCTGCGGAAGAGGCACGCTGTCAGATTGGACTGCACGCCCCTTTGGGAGAGAGTGCTCGGAGGAGGCAGCAGAGGGGCAGGAGGCCCAGTGCGGAAGCCACAGCAGCTGTCAGGGTGGCCCTGGCGTCCCAGGAACAGCCCGGTGAGTCATGACTCTGCTTTCCCCAGGGAAACTGAGGTTTACACAGGTCAGGTGACTGCCCAAAGTCATCTGAGGGTTGAGGGATCTAGATTTGAGTCCTCATACTCGCTGAGTCTCCAACCGGAGCCTTTTCCACTTCCCTGAGCCACCTTCCAGGCCCCAAAATGGTGCTAGAGCACAGGTGGCAAACACAAGGCCCACAGGCCGAATCCGGCCCTCCACCTTGTTTTATCCGGCCCGGCACCTTGTTTCTACCTGGCGGCAGTGTGAGCTCTTGCTTCACTGTTAAGGAGTAGTTACACGTATACAGTCCTAAAATTACATTCAGCCCTTTGCAGGCAACCGTGAGGCTGATGTGGCCCCCGGTGAAAAAGTTTGACACCCCTGTGAGCACCTGCTGGATGCTTTGTTTCAGTTCTGAGTGTGTCACGTGCTTTAATTCACTTAATCTTCCCAACAAATGTAGGAAGTAGATACTCTTATTCAGATGAGGAAACTGAGGCACAGAAAGCTTAAGTAACTTGCCCAAGATCACATAGCTGGTGAATGGCAGAGTCGGGATTATAAGGCGGCTGCAGCAGACGTGGCTACAACCCTTAAGCCCCGTGATGTGTGTGTGTGGGGGGGGGGATGGGAGCTTCCAACACAGAGAGAAGGGGAATGGGGGAGTCTTCAGAGGCGGAGACCTGTGCATGCCCTTCGGAGCACTGATGGGAGCTGCGCCTGCAAACAGAGGAGGCAGGCAGACCAGAAATCCTGAGACCTAAGTTTTAGGTTCAGCTCTGCCCTAAACTTGCTGTGTGAGCTGGGGCCTAGGGTTTTCTCACCTGAAGCGCCAACACAAGATCTGCAGAGTCCCCTTTCTCTCCCAGCTCTGCTTCTCCTACTCCTAGATTAACCCCTCCACCCTCATACCCCCAGATGCTCTGGGAGACTAAGGCAGGAGGGAGGGGCTCGAGAGGGGGTTGGGCTGTGGAATGGGGTGGAGGAGGCAATAGAGGGACTGACATTTCTCCAAAAGCCTAGTCAATTGCAGAAAATCCTGCCTCCCCACCCCGTCCTTGCTCTAAGCCTGAGCTTGGGTTTGGGGGCTATACGCCCCACCTACCTTGCTTCCCAGGGCCTGCAGCGACCAGGCTCCCACAATGCTCTCCAGAGACCAGGCCTTGCTTAGAAAGTGTTTCCTTTGGAGCCTGAGTCACCAGATCCCTGGGTGGCCTGTGGGAAACCACAGTTACTAGGGGCCCCATGATTGGGAAAGGGGGAAGGACAGCAGGTCTAGCCACCACTTGTGACAGCAGCTCAGCTTCTCCTGTATGGGGCTTGGTTTCCCCATCTATAAACTGAGGGGCTGGGATTGGATTCCCAGACCCCATGAAGAAAGGCAGCCACAGGGTCTTTCTCTGACACTTAAGGTCACCCAAGGACCTCAGGGAGGTCTTCAACCTCCAAACAGGGCAGGTCTGGGAGTCAAGACAGCTGTGAGGTTAATGGCCCTGGGTCCCCAGAGTTCAGCACTATAGGCTCAGACTGTCCCGAAGAGATAAGCCACTCCTATGGAGCCAATCACAGCTAGCACACGGGAGGGGCCCTGAGCGGCATCTGAGACAGGGAGTTCCGCAAACGACAGCATTCATGTGAGCATCCCCTTCTCCATCCGAGAAAGGGGGGTGGCTGAGAACCCTGCACAGACTCCCAGCCCATCCTCATGCAGCACAGCCCAGCTTCACTCAGTGCTCACGACCACAGTCCCAAAACGTTTCGTGGAAAACAGTTTTTCCACGGACCGAGGCGGGGGTGCGGAGGGGGATGGTTTCTGGATGATTCAAGCTCATTACATTTGAGCTCACCTCCTGCTGTGCAGCCTGGTTCCTAACAGGCTCAGACTGGTACTGTTCCACAGCCCGGAGCTCGGGGACCCCTGCTCAAAAGACCCAGGTCTGAGAGTTGTGCCTCCCACGAGGGTCAGGCCCAAGGGTGGCAGAACAAAGGAGTGAAGGGAGGAGTCTGGGCTGACAGGGACACCAAGAAGAAGTTTTCCATGAAAAGCAGTGTGGTCCATGAGGCTTAACTCTAGAGAGAATTGATGTCATCTTCCCAGGCAGGTACCCCCTGAGAATCTAGGAGATGGGGTTGGGGAAAGGATGTTACCGTCAGTCTGCATGGAGTAGACTGTGATGGGAGGCAGGAAGCCTGGTCCTATCCCAGCCTCCACGCTCACATCCTTGAGAAAGGCAGGCACTTCCCTGGTCTAGGCCTTGTTTTGCCCATCTGTAAAATGGGGTGTCAACCTCTATCTTGCTACCTGATGAAGGGGGATATTGATCCTCACTTCCATACCCAGGCATCGGTGTGACTGGTTACTTCCTCTAACGGCAAGGAGTCCCTCTCTGCCAGGAGCCTGGCCCTCAGCTGGGAAGCCCCTTCGAGTTTCTTAAAGTTTAGCACTGACCACCTCCCTGGTCCACTCAGGAGACAGCCCACCTTCCCCACTGCCTCCTATGCCAGGCCAGCTCCTCATCTTAGCCTTGGAGGGTCCCTGACCTCCCTTTCCAGCCCCAGCCCTGTATGAGTAACAGCTGATGGGCACTGATGATGAACCAGGTGCTAGGTGGTGTGTGGTGTGCTTCATTCTTGAAGTCACACCTACTTTTCAGGTGGAAATAATTTTATTCTCTTAACACGGAGGCACCTGAAAGAAGTCTCTGAAGTCATTCCATCAGGGGTGTCCAACCTGCAGCCCACGGGCCGCATGCGGCCCAGCACAAAAATCATGAATACACTTAAAACATTTGAGACTTTTTTGTGATCATGTGTCGCAGTGTATTTAATGTGTGGCCCAAGGCAGCTCTTCTCCCAGTGTGGCCCAGAGAGGCCAAAAGGTTGGGCACCAATGCGAGTGGCAGAGCTGGGGCTTGAACAGACTCCCCTCTCCTGTCGCCTCCACGCAGCGGGGATGCCTCCCAGCTCCTGGCACCCCTGTGGCATTGCCCTTGGCTCCTGCCCATCTGCTGCTGCTCCTAGCCTGTCGACTGGCCACTCCTCTGTGCAGTGAGGATCACAGTCGAAGTGCTAAGTCTTCTGGGGAGTCACTCTGATTCCTCTCCTCAGCACTGCCACAGAACCAGCTCCTTGGTCGGTCTGGCCCGAGCGCCCTGCTGATGGAACCTCCACACTGACCCCACACCCAGAACACACCAGTGAGGCAGGCACCCCGGACACACATCTGCAGGGCACGGTGACGCACAGCCCAGGGGTACCCATGTGCCGTAGTATGGGGGGATGGGGAGTCTGTTGGCAAATAACTTTGGGAACCAAAGTGAAACGATATATTTCTTGGACTCAGCGGCTGTGATCCACACCCCCTGGCATTCGCACTCTGGTGGAGTCCCTCACGTGTTGCAGCAAGAATGGTTTATGTGATCGAGTGGGTTCTACCTGGCAGAAGTGATGGCACGTCAGTTCCAGGGTGAGGTTGTAGGAGGTGAGCTTCACTCTGGGTCTCTTCTGGGTCAGGTGCTCCAGGGGAAACCATTTCACGAGTGGCCACATGGAGAGACCTCCATGGCAGAAACTGGGGCCTCAGGCCAAGAGCCCAGGAGCGAGCTGGACGTGGGTCCTGCAGCCTCCGATACGCTCAGAGGACGGCAGCCCTGGCCGACAGCTTGACTGCAGACTCGTGAAACCCTGAACCAGAACCACCCAGCCAAGCTGCTCCAGCATTCCTGAATGCGGAAACTGTGAGATAAATGCTGGTGGCTTCAAGCTGCTAAACTTTAGGAAAATTTATTATGCAGCAAGAGATAATCCGCAGACTTCTCAGGACATTTACTATGCTGATGTAAATCTCCAAGAAAGATATATAATGTAACATTCCCTTTCATTATTTGGCCAAGGAGGCTTTCTTCTTTGAGTTGTTCTTCAAGAGAGAACACTGACTTAATGTGGCTCTGGCCCTACGATTAGATGTAACTTCTAACCCAGATCTGTCTCGTGAGCTAGCCGTGCACCCTTCCAGAACCTCGACTTTTCCCTTGCACGCAGTAAAAACAAACCACCTGCCTTCGCATCATTCATGAATGCAGCCCCTGATGGGCAGATTCTGACCTAGAGATCGGGGGGAGGGCAGCTTGGTGAGGTCCTGGAGGAGCTTCCCCCCAAGGCTCCAGTGGGTTCTCCCTGGTGGTAAGCGAGCCTAACGCCCACTGTCTCGGGTTTTCTCCCTCAGGCCACTTCCCCAGTGGTGAGGTACGGCATCTTCTAGCTTGTGCCCAGCTCAGAAATGGAAGGCATGGACCTGAGTCTCCACCATCAGACTCAGTGTTCCTCCAGGCCAGAGAGCGAGCCTCCCCCCCCCAGACTGAGATGGACGGCCCACGCACTGTCCGCTTTTCCTGTGGACACACTACAGCCATGGGCAAGAAGGAACAGCAGAACCTCCTGTGGCCTTCAGAGTAAACGTGTGTCTTTCCTCCCATTCTGATCTACTCTCTCCACTCTCTGTCTGGGAAAGGCCTTCGTCAGGTTTCAGGATGTCTGATGGGCCAGAAACCCAGCAAAGCCCTGCATATCCCTCTTTGTTAAAAAGAAGACAGTTTTAAGAAAGAAACTATAATGCGAATACTTTATTATCAACGAGTGACTGGTATTAGCTTTTTGTCTGGGCATTAATATTTCAAAAACCATACACCAAACCCAGGCTTTTCCACCTAGCTCTGCTGTATCATTTTCTTTAAAAAAGAAAGAAAGAGGGAGGAAAAGAAAGAAAATATATCTGTATTGAAAGAATTATAAGCCAAAGTGCGTCTTTCTTGTTTTGTCCATATACACACATTGCACCATACATAAATAATTACATTGTAAAAATGACTCCATAATTACAAGTATAATATATATTTCCATATAATATATAAAACTTTATATTAAATCTAGGTAGATGATATTTGGGGGGTTTGTCCGTGGGGGCTGTGTCTCTGGGCACTGCCACCCTGGCCGGGGGGTTGGGGGTGGGGGCGGGTGGGGCAGGGGCAGATGGCGGCTGCCGCCTGGGTGGCTGCCGCTATCTGTGGTTGTTGAGCAGGATCTCCAGCCAGCAGGGGCAGGAGGTGATGAACTGCCGGGAGTAGCAGGGACCCCAGCCCTTAGCGAAGCTGATACGGACACTGTTGGGATCATAGGGGCCATCGGCGGCGTCGGGCTCCGGCCCCTGCTGGAGCAGGCCAGAGCGCTCAAAGTCGAACACCTTGATGGAGTAGCCAGGTGGCACCTTGCGCACGACGAGGGCGCGGCCGCCGGGCGCATCCAGCGTCGGGGAGTTGACGAAGATGGGGTGCTCGCCACGATTGTAGGCCCACACGCCGTCGGGCTCCTTGCTGAGCAGGATGCCGAAGCCGATCTTGCTGCGCGTCCGCCGCACCGACTCGCTGCGCTGCTCCAGGTTGAGCTGGCCCAGGCAGAAGCCGCTGCCCTGAGGTAGGTCGTAGAAGATGCTGACGGCCTGGTCGTACACCGCGTAGAGGCGGCCCACTCGCGTCCGGTGCTCCCAGTATGCCACGCTGCACCAGTGGCTCGGCTTGGTTGCATCCGGAGACATGCTGGCGTCTGTGGGGCAAGCACAGGGCACATGGTGTTACTTAGGGTGGGGAGTCGGGTGGTGGCCCCTGCCCACTGCTCTCCTGTGTGGGCAACTTCCCAGATTCTAAAGCCCTGTAACAGCTGCTCTTTCCCTTGAGCACACAGCTCTGAGAAGCAGGTGGACACCCATGACTGCCTGGCCAGGTGACAAGTTCCCACACAGGCCCTGGCTGGAGCTTTTGCACAGAGGGAGAATCCTGCTGGAGGCCCGATGAGGACATAGCAAGGCACTCGATGGCTCCTATTCTCCAAAAGACACTGATCAAAGTCCAACTAAAGCTGAGGGGGAAAACACCACCAACATCATTCAGAGCCTGAGTGAGGTCAGTTCCACCTGTCGGCTCAGCCCCACCTAGAAGTCCCAGAGCAGAAGGGTGAGAGCCCCCTGACAGCGCCCTCTTCTGTGCTAGGAGGCACCTAGCTACCTAGCAGAAAACTGTCTGCCTGAGGGGCCTCCTGCAGGCCGCCAGCTCTGTTGTGGCCTTGGACTGGGCACAGCTCCAAAGGGTGTGCTCCTCACCCTGCGTCTGGCTTCAGGTCCCAGCCACAGGTCCCCGGGCCAGCTCCTGCAGAGCTATCGTTTTGCCTCAGTCTCCACCCAGGGCCCCCATGGCTCTAGCTGACTGGCCCTACTCCTGCCCTCTCTGACCTGCCCCTTAGCCAGTGGACAGAGAGACAACTCTATCCTGTGGTGGGTGACCAAGCTGCACACACTAGGCCAATCCCAGCAGGTGGGCAGCTAGGAATACCCAAGCCATCCATCCATCTGGCACTGGCTGGGCGTTCCCAAGCAGCACCCCAGCTTGGCCATAAATGTCTAGCGTGAACCTTCTCACCAAGCAAAAGAAGCTATGCCTGGAGAATAATGGGCAACAGGCCAGGCAAGAGGCATCCCTGAGTGCTTTCCACGAGCCAGGTGCCTTCTTCACAACAGCGGTGGTCCACCTCTGCTACCAGCGCATTTCACAGGTGCAGAGACTGAGACCCAGGGATGTGCCCTGACTGTTCAAGGGTACACACCGGTGAGTGCTGTAGCCAGCATCAGTGCCGGGCTTCCTCTAGAGGGGAGTGCAGGTCCCCCCCTTAAACCCACGCACTGAGCTAGGCCCTCCCCATCCCCGACAGTTTCCCCTTCTGTAACCACAACTGCTTTCATGGTCCATAGATCCTAAAGGTGTTTACCCATGAGCCTGTGCATCACCCCCCACCCCACAAACATAGGGCTCCCTGCACAGTGTCACCAAGTGAGGGGTTGGTTACTGCTGTCTGCCTTTCACAGATAGGGCTCAGAGTCAGCCACCTAGTAGTAAAAGGGAAAGAAGCAGTTTCATAGTCAGAGTGTGTGTGTGGGAGGTGGGGTGGTTAGGGTAATGGGACTGGAGGCGGGGAGGGGTTACTTCCTCTCTCAGCTCCCATAAGCCTTTCAATCCAAGACCAGGTGAAACTTCCTGTCCCTCTCCTCCCACCAGCTGAGCCAAATGCCCCCTCATCATCTACACCACCACCCCATTCAAGATCTGTGTCCCTGGCCTTCCCCTAGTGCCCCTCGCAGGAACAGTGGCCTGTATTTGGAGACACAGAGCTGCCCTAGGACTCAGCCTGCCCAGCTATCTGGCTCGAGGACATGGCCTGGGCCAGGCTTCACCTCCTGCAGCCTCGGCAACACCTCATCAGGCCTGGGCTCCTGGCCAAGTCTCCAAACTCCAGGAGATGGACTGCAGCCTCGGAAAAGCCCTCGCTGACCACTCCCTCCTGTAGCAGTTACAGGCTTAAATGCAGTCCCCCCTTGACCTGAGCAGGTGCCTATGCTGTTGGTCAGTGTCCCTGAGTAGGCTAGACCCTCAAATAGGAAGGAGTGGGTCTCAGTCTTCTCTTTCTCTCTCCCAAGGCTGACTGTATCCCTAGGGTGCTCTAGATAGGCACTAAAAGGGAAGGAGGAAAGAAAATATATCTCCAGTGCTGAAACACTGTCCTCACCCCACCCCCACCGGAATCTTGCCCAGCAGGCGGGGCTGACAACCTCAGGTCCAAGAGGATGGTGGGCCAGGACTCAGACCTCAGGTCTGATCCAAGAATAAGCCAGCAGGCGAGCCCCCCCACCCCCAGAACATGGTGATCTCCGGGTCTCAGGGCTCCAGAGCTTGAGGGGCCCCCTGACAGCATCTCAGGGAGCCCCAACACTTGGGGCTTTCACAAACCGACACTGTTCGACCGAGGGGCTGGGAGCGTCACAGGGTTACCACTGCTTTATTTTGTCATGACATTAAAATCCCCAAGACTGCCACTATCGCTGGCACAAAAGGAAGTGCAAATTAATACTAACAAAATTACAAAAGGTATAATGTGATAATAAAAGAAATCGGATTTAAAGTTAACACATTTAGATCAGCAATTGTCAACTAGCGTGCCACAAGCATTTTTAGAACGTGCAGGACTTGACCATCCGGTCCAGGGCGCTGAGCTTGCTTCTCTGAGACGGTCAAACAGAAGTGTCAAAGCAGCCGACACAACTGTCTGGGGGGAGTGCCCTGTCTTGAAGCATAAATACAGGATCCAGCACAAATAACACCCCCCTTTTATTACGTACAAATCTTTTATTACAAAATCACGAACATGTAATTCTGTAACACAACATCACACTCCAGCACGCCACATGGCATTTTAGGTGAAGTGTTCAAACTGCTGTCCATCTCGTGTGAGACATTCACGCACCCTACCAACCCCACTCGATGGCGTTACTCCTGCCGGGCCCTGTATATAGGTCAGACAATAGAGTTGCATCTTAGCAGTCACGTCACATAATAAGGTTGCGTCTGAGTTCTCAACTCCTGGTAACAGAAATCATTATACACCAGTATAGGCACCTGATTTTTTTTAAAGTCACTTTGGAGCAAAATGGGTAGATAATTACTTTTTTTTTTTTTTTTTGGTAAATCATTCAAAATTATACATATGTTTTTTTCAGATTGGCAAAATATTTTTTTTTGGTGTGCCGCAGAATTTTAGTAATGAGTTTATGTGTGCTACAAGATGAAAAAGGTTGAAAATCGCTACACTTAGATTATAAGAAATTTTCTTTATTTTTTAGAGAAGGGGAGGGAGAAAGAGATGGAGAGAAACACCAGTGTGTGGCTGCTTCTCACATGCCCCACTGGGGACCTGGCCAGTAACCCAGAAATGGGCCCTGACTGGGAATCAAACCAGTGACCGTTTGATTTGAAGGCCAGACTCAACCACTGGGCCACACCAGCCAGGGCTGGGTTATAAGAAATTTTCTTATTTCTTTCATCATGGACCAATGAAAACTTAGTCCTGAGACTGGCCTGTGTGAACCGCTGATTGGGCCCAATGTCCCTGTGCCCTACAGATGCAGCCCAGGGGCACAGGGCGACTCACCTGAGGACAGACCACAGCGTGTGGCAGAACAGGGGCCAGAACCTGAGAACCCAGATTTCTAACCTAATGCTCATCTCATGATCTAAATAAAGGTTTCAGAATTGACACAGATCTAAGGCTGTCACCACTGACTAAATGTGTGGCTGTGGACACGTCGATGAATGTCCCCAGGCCTCAGTCTCCCCATTTGGAAAACAGGCTTATTCATAGTTGAGTGCCTCACTCACATAGTTTATCTCTGGGTTTTCTGGAAACTCCCTGCAGCAGATCAATTACGTGCAGAAAGAAGCAGCTGCCTGTTCACTGGCCCCAGGGTTGGCCGGACCCTTCAGAGACCAGGACTCCCTAGGCGTGTTGGGGGTCATGCCCCAGGGTCACTGCCATGAGAAGTTACAATAGGACAGTGGATGGCAAGGCCCTCGGCAAACTGTAAAGGACTTTACATATGTTTAGCTGCTGGCCTGGTACCTGAGGAAAAAGGCATTCAGTGAGTGAGAGAATGAAGCCACAAACAACTAACTGAATGTCTACAACAAGGACAAGCACTGCTGCAGCACTATTTCACCCCACACCCCACACTAGAGGACACGCCATCTGTGAGTGAGAGGGCGGGTGCCCCCAAGCCCAGGGCCCGCTGCACTTCCCACAGTTGCAGAGCCCATGCCACCCACCACACCGCTCATCTCCGGTCTGAGTTGCCACTCTGGGAGCAGGGGCAGTGTCTTGCAGAAGATCTTTCTCTTCTCATGGTTTCAAGGCTGTGGTCCCGCCATCAGCCTAATTAGGAACCAGCTCCTTAATTACAAATAAATGCCGGGGAGTCAGACCCGAGTGAACAACATCAAAGATGACCGTGCTCTGACCGAAACTCCTGCTTACTACCCCCTGCCCGGGGCTTGGCCTAGTTCCCAGCCAGACTCTGGGTCTCACTGGGACGGCTCTGCGGAGAGGAGGAGGGGGAGGAGAAGAGCAGAGGCGCAGTCTGGCGCTGATCTGGCAGGAGTCCTGGAGGCAGGTGTCCTGCCTCCTGGCTCTAATCAAGCAGCTCACCTCCCTTCTCCCGGCCTCAGTCTCCCGATCAAAACACTGAGCCCTAAATTCCTGTGATTTGATGAACACTCACAGCACCTCTACTCAGCACCACCTGATCTTGGAAAGCTGCCCAGATGTCTGACAGGGGACTGGCTGTCATAGACTGAATGTGTGTGTCCCCTTCAAATTCATGTAAGGATCCTGAGCCCTAATGGGGTGGCATTTGGAGAGGTGGGCCTTTGGGAGGTCCTGAGGCAGAGCCGTCATGAATGGGATTAGTGCCCTTATGGAAGAGATGCCGAGAGCTCTCTAATCCTTCCAGCACGGAGGAACAGCAAGGAGACACCATCTATGAACCAGAATGGGCTCTCATTAGACACCAAATCTGCTGGCACCTTGATCTTGGCTTTTCTAGCCTCCAGAACTATGAGAAATAAATGTATTGCTTAAGCCACCCAGCCTACGGTATTTCGTTATAGTAGCCCAAATGGCCCAAGGTAATGAAATAAACAAAAATAAGGTATATCTCTGGCATAAAA